CATACGACGGTCAAGTAATAAAAAATTTCGTTTTTAATGGATTAATTGTAAGATCATACGTCATAAAATATACGTAACTTCATGGAGCTGTTTCTTAGAGATATTAAGTACGCGTAGTCCGTGGGAAATCAACCGACATTTCGGAGGAAATTTGTTCCTCTCTTCGGAGTCGGAAAACTAGCCAAGCACGGAAGGAGCGTGAAGCAGGTAGCAAGCTGAAATAATTGCGTTTCCTTTCAACGTTTAGTCAATTTTCTATTCTTTCATAAATTTGTTATATGAAAACACTCTTCTAATGTGGTCACTTACACTGCCTGTCCGTCAGAGAGGTTATTTAGACTCACTCAGAAGTTCTGAACAAAACTTTCAATAATAAGAACACAATTCCATGTCTGTATAACCGAAGTGACAACCTTTCCTTGAACTTTGTCAAGGCGAAAAAGAAGTTGTGAAAGGCCATATTATTTTATGTTCACTGTCGAGAATTACAGCAGACCTTAAACAGATCAGAGTTGAGTGGAGAAGATAGCAATATGGTGGATTCATAATACAGCTCACGAGACTATATACGAATATTTTAGTAATTATCACACTCAATTATTATTATTATAAATATCCTTAAAATATTGCATGCATTTATTTAGAAAAAAATAGCGAAGCCCAGCTAAAGTCGAACTTATTCTTGACTACTACCCTGCCCACCTCATCCTACTTCTCATACTAAATTTAATTATATCCATGTTGTAATATCGGACATGATCTTCATATTCAATGTATAATTTTTAAGCGTTTTGCGAGGAACATTCCTACTTCACGAGATTTCCGGTTCTCGTGGCACTGAGTATTGATATTACTGCCGTCCGCGACACTGTATAGAAACGTCTTCTACGGTGTGAAGATGGAGGCACCAGGTTACTATATATCTACATAACTCTACGGCGTCACATCCCAGAATATCTTAATCAAGGCTTTATCCTTTGTGACCTCGCGAATTTGCAAAATTGTGCGAGGTAAATTCAGTGTGTTCTACTGCACGGGAACTTCTACCGAAAACCAGAAGTTAAAGTCACATTAATATAATTATGCGCCTGAGTGTAATCCATTCTATGTAGCTTCATAGTAACCATAACTCATATTGCGTATTAAGGACATGACACAGTAGACAAGGGTGTATTAATATTTGACACCACACACACCTTTCACGAGGAGCAGAAGGTAGATTGCATAGTGATATTGGAGCAGCAAGAAAGTGTTAAAGAGGAGCTTCTGGGGGTTTACGGACTACCGAATACGAAACCGTACAGTGGATACTCAGGATAGACGTGTAGCCGCATCACAGATCACGTCTGTAAGAATAAAACTGTTGCTATCCGTGTACAGTAGTCTGCCAACTTCGGGGATATGAGAAATTCATACAGAATTTTACTCGGGAAGGCTGAAAGGACGAGACAATTTGGGAAACTATTGAGCAGATGTGAGGATCATATTAAATGTTTATCTTGAAGAAAGATAGTGCGAGGCTGTGGATTGGATTAATCAGCCTCATTGTATAGTACAACGACCTTCTCCTGAGAAAAAAGTAATGAATCTTCGAGTTCCATAAAATACGGAAAAAATATTGACTCCTAGAGCGATTATTTGACAATTATTATTATTATTATGGCACTTTATTTCGGCTTATTCACTGTCGTCAGACATGGCGTTCAATTTTATGTTTTAAATAATATAATGCATAAGTCCGAATGAGGTTTCATTGCTTGGTCTCCCAGGTCGCCAGATTTAACCCCAGTGGATTTTCTCTTGTGGGGTTATGTGAAGAACAGTGTCTACCAGGTTAAGATCAACGACGTTCAAAACCTTAAAGCCCTCGTAAGGGACGCTGTGGCTACGGTAACAACAAACACGCTTCAAGTATGGATATTTGCCGTGCCACCAAGGGAGCCCACATTGAAATTTATTGAGAAAGTTATGTACTCAGAAAAAAACTTTGATAATTTCCCTTTGTAGTGGTGTAACCCATAAATGTGTATAATAAATTCTTTCTGAGATATAATTTCATTTTGGATACCTTTCATCCGGACACCATGTATTAGGAATTTAGGCCCATTCGAAGTAACGTTCTACATACAACATTATCACTTTGTTCCCCGAGCTCAGCTTCGATTCTCGAATGAGCTTAAGGAGCAGTCTCTGATGTGTCTTCGTGTGTCCATGTCTGGTCTCTGCAGTGGTGCTGAGGGCACAGTTTCGTTACTATTGTCACACACCGGGGTACAACGGCTCGGCACGAATTGCCGTGCGGCCGTAATGTTCTCTATTTAATTGGCGAAAATAAAGGTAACATATTTGCAGGCTCTCTGAAGTTCTAAAATTTTCAGAATTCAAGAGACCAGGTTCATCCAGATGCTGTTTATATTCACATCAAAATTTCAAGCAGCCATTTGCATTAGTAAGCCTATATAACAAATATGGGGGGGGGGGCGTTAACCTTAAACATAAATCTGATACCTGGTTTCACAGAAACAACTCATTATTTAGAGGTAGAAGCTAAAGATAAGGTAAAGTTTCTTATGTGCTTCACTAATTAGGCACTAAGCCATGAAAAGTGTATGGGGGAGTGGATGTGTGAATCCATATTTTCTTTACCTTGGCACTAGCTGCAGGTAAGTGGTCAGCTTCACGCCTCAGCCGCTTTACCCCTGGAGAAACCTTTGAATAGGAGGTTGGGTGGACCTCAGAGGCGTTTTGGACGACGTGGAGAAGAGAAAATACTTGACCCTATCGCTACTCGAACTCCGACCCCTCGGTCGTCGAGCCCACAGCTACACGTTATACCGACTGCCCGCGAATATTTATGTATATATATATTAAAATATAGATTTAATTATAAAGTGCTCCTACCTCAAGAGTTATATTAAGTAGAGTGTGGCGTTGTGTGGAGTTTTGCAGAAGTTCACAGGCGTTTCGGAAGAGTACCGTATTTACGGATGTACTCGTATAGGCCGCACATTTTTTGCCAAAAATTCAAGAGCAAAACTGGGGTGCGGCTTATATTCGAAATATTCGAAATCACACTTCATTTAAAAAAAAAGTATATTCATAATTAGTAATACAGGGTGTTCTACTCCTGAAATAATATTCCAAGAAAATTATTTTTTCTACAATTTCTGTCTGAAAATTGTGCTGCGGCCTATACACGCACGCGGCCTATACATGCGTAAATACGGTAAATTTGCTGCTCACTTGTTCAGCTACATCAATGGATGTTTATTCCGCAAACACCAGAAGAGTGTACAATAAATAGTTATTAAATTGTACACCAATCAGCACACTGACTTATAGACTGTACAATCTGATTGTCAATAAGGGAGAGAAATTAAAGAAGAACTTGTTCAGCTTACTCTTGGAGCGTCAATCTAGAAACATTAAGTTCCTCCTAACATTCGGAAACTTCCAGCAGACTACACAAGATTAGTCTTAACGGGCACCGTCACGGTAACTCAAACCGCACACGTCTAGTTCAGCCTGGTATTCCAAAACGCAATAAAGGGACCAGTCAGCTCCCACAACATAACCGTCAACAATGATCCAATATGAGATAATACAGGTACAAACTGCAATCCCATGTTTATCGGATAAGACGACTGGAGCAAAGAAGAGCAGCGCAATAAGCACAACGGAATCAGAGGGCGAAACAGAAGCGAGAAGCAGATTCCAGATGAAGAATAAGATGATGCAACCTATTTTGACACACCGTGTAAAATGCATTTGTAGAATTACAAAGCAAACTACTTGCAGAAGAATCTAACTTCGGACATAAAAATCGCTGGCTCCTTAAAGCGGGTGGCACGAGAGCTGGAAGTAGCAGTCAACCCTGGAAGGAAGGGGCCAACATGCAGGGACAGCAAGGGACGAGAGACCGGAAGTGGCAAGGATACGGCTTCCGTAGATTCTTAAGGCTTCTGACGATGGTGGATGACACACAGAATTACTGTGGTTTTGGTCTTTTTCCATCGTCCGGAATTCTAGGTAATAGAGGGCAAGACGCTTCGGAAACTAGATCTGTTTCCGTCTTCAGGTGAGAAAGGAAGACACCTACTCAGTTGTGCCCCTTAGAAGGAGTTAATCTCAATCACTGGATACAAGATTTCAGGATACAATGATTGTCTTCTTTCGGTTCTGAACATGAAATCTAAGTTACAACGCAACAAGCTAAAGGTAAACCTTCGATGTTAAACAAGCCGTTGTTTTACAAATAAGAACATAATAACGAAAACTCTTAATGTAAAATGTATTGCTTACTTTCCTATGGTAGAGTGGCTGCGTCATAGCTCAAGCGGTTAGTCGCTGGCTTCCCGCCGCGGCGGCCCGGGTTCGTTCCCGGGTCTGGTCAAGTGGGATTTATGGTGGACAAAGTGGCGCTGGGGCAGGTTTTCTCCGAGTACTTCGGTTTCCCCTGCCAATCTTCATTCCACCAATTGCTGCACAATCACCCTCACCTATCATCTGGGGCTAGTACAATAGGCCAGAAGTGGCCGCAGTACAAGGGAGTTAGTCCCACCCCACTAGCAATAAAAAAATAGAATACAGTTATAGGTTGCAAGAACTTCAACGACAGCAAGTAAACTTGCGTTACTTGCGTTAAAATGTGTTTTATGATGGTTTTTTAATGATAATCGCGCTAATAAAGCATTTAATTAACGCTAATCAGTCTACAAACAACTTAATTAATGTTTGATTTCAGATCCTAACCAGAGATGAATATGAGAAGTACTGTTCTTTGGAATGTTGCAGAATTTTGGCGATGTTTCGGAAAAACGTACCGCCTCCAATTTTTAGGTCGAAAAGTGTGCCGATTAAGCAAGATGAAAGAAGAAAGCTTGGTGAACTTCTATAGGGCATAAATTCTTACTTTCAACATGATTATACAGGTTGATAACATAGACTATCGTTACATGCAATGATTATAACGTAAACATCAATTATAGCAGTATAAATACCTGTTCAGTAACGCAGCGAAGGGTGTCCGAGGCTTAGCACGTAGCTCCACACGAGAGCAGATGCCGGTCGGTCACACGAAGTAGCTCCACGCAGCCACACACCCGAGACTCAGCTCGCAACTGATGCTCAAACACAGGTCCGCATTTCGAACTCCCGCTCTGACGCCTGGCGCCAGTATCTTGCGCCCTGCGCCCAGCATCGCCCGCGCATCACTCTCGCCCGAGACGGAGTGACACTGGAGGCAGAGTAAAGAAAACAACTGAGGTTTCATTCAACAGATTCGGATTGGGGTTTGTAGTGGTGCAANTTTCTTCTCTTTTACAATTTTGTTCCACTTGTTTCAACATTTCTGGATTATACGATTATGTAAAATTATTATAAGCATTTTATAACTCCTCAGATACTAAAGTACTTACTTCGAACACTAACCGGCGCAGAATTGTAACAAGAGCCCTTTAAAAATTTGCGCATATAAAAAATTTCACGTTTCATTTACTCGGTTCAAATAATTCCTGAAATTATAAAATAAAATATTAATTAGATTTACTATTATCGCTTTAAAGGATTATTGCTGATTAGAGTGAGTCTCGACGGGTTTTTGGTTTGGAGATTGGATTTATTGAAAACTTACAGGTTGTAATTACAAATCACCGTAACACAATTTACTGATCACTACACCAGAGTCTCTGTGCCTTCTCTAGCCGTTCCCTGGTAACGGCTTCTATCAGTGAGGATTCTTCAACTGCACCGACCAAGTCTTCGCTTCACTGATACCATTACAACGGACTAACTTTCCAGAGTCAGAGTCAGAGCCAGAGTTACTTTACGACTGGCGATTTACCGCCAATCAGTTCGTCTTGTAGACAAGACCCTTGAGACTCACGACCAGAATTTTTATTTTCCACCTGAACACTTGCAGTTATAGTCCTTATGTAACATCCTCTCTCACGCGAGGATGGGTCCGTCGTTTACAATTGCTGCTGGGCCACGCCAGCACAGTCATTCCCAGATCCGAGTCCCGCGGGACTCATGACCATATTTTACTTTCTCTGATTTGAGATTCCCCCCAACCTGAAGGGACATGTCCCGTATTTATATCCCCCAAGAACAGGGTGACCCGTTGTTAGGTAATGGATCAATAAACGCGTGTCCGAAACAGCAGTGACGTCATACAATAGAAGAACTGTCGGAAACGGTGTTTTCTGTTTGGTACGTCCCGAGGGTATATCACGAGGACTAACCGGACAAGCCAGGCAGTCCCGAGTCTGCAGTTAGGGAGTGAAATTCGTGGGGAACAGCCCTTGTTAGAAGACTCTTAGCAGGAATGGTCTAGTGGAGGCCCTAACAAGCTGAGAAGACTACTGTGGGTTACAGTGTTTAGTGCGGGGTTATAGTTACTTGTAACTCCGAGTTCCAAATGCGTACATTCTCACTTCCGGAGGTTTAATTAACGTAACTGCATGGTGATGATTCATTGCAATTGATTTGATATACAGGTTACTGCATATTCACTAAAAAAAAGGACTATATTTTATGCGGACTTGCGTAGATACAAACATATGTACCCTCGTTTAATTATATAAGTGTGGTCTTATTTCCTTCCAAGTTGCATATCCACTTTAAAAGGCGTTGTGTTAAATTATAGACAGCATGCAATTAAAACTGTCTGCTCCACTGCCATTCTATTTTTACCTGCCTTTAACAATTTGTCAAAGTAAAAAGTTCTGAACAAACCAAAAGACAAATAAAGCAGTTCTGCAAGTTTATGTTCATTTTAATTAACGTTCTGATGCATGCCTTGCCATATTTTCATCAAAAATTTACAGTTAAAGCATTTAAGTATAAGTTAAATATATGCGAGGCTATGGATGTTTTCTACGAATGATTCTTCTAGTGTGACCCCTCAAGTAGAGTTTTCATTTAAGAGAGAAAATTTTGTCACACGGAATGAAAATACATTTCCCAGAGAACCCGAACCTCGGAGCTTTCATCAATTTTTTATGTAAAATGTTAGCAAAAAAATATTTAATTCAGCAATTCCTTCTCTCTTAAGTGAATTTCACGTCTGAAAATTTCCTCGGATATAAAATCCTCAACTGAGCTTAATTATTTTTGCCTTCAGTAATTCAGTATCCCATTTGTGTCCTAGTTTTGTGTGTCAAACAGATGTATAATTTACTATGTACAGCATGCTAATTATTTCCTATTCGAAATTTATCAGAAGTCTGACTAATTAGTTTTCTAAACAGCTGGTATATAATTTCATAAAATATATTTATTTAGGACTGAAAGCAGGAAGCTTGACACATAGGGAGTCGAAGTTGAGGTCTCCTGATCATTTTGTGAGTAAATGTTTTTTCCACTTTTATACATTAGTGAAAATTCATGTTCAATAGTAATAATATACAAAAAACACGTAAATAAATAAATAATTATGCATTTTCTCTTATACGACTACTCTATATGTACACCATGGCTATGTTCATACTGTAAGGACCTTCACTGCTATACTTGTATATTAATTCAGTTATTGTAGAAAATATTAAAGTTACGTGGAAGAGTCAGTATATAGGTCACAAATGGATACAAAACGTAAAACATATGATATTCGGACCTGGAGAATACTTCCGACATATCATCCACGAGCAATGATTAAACTTGTCATATTGCATTACCAGTGCGTCGAAACCCGCAGAATAAAAATCTTTGGACTATTGTCTCAGCCGCTTCCGCGCCTCCGTCGTCTTCGTTGTCAGACTTTGCCACCGAAAGACGCTGGATAGCGATCACGTGATATGTGTTTACTGTAGGTTCATGTCCGTTCCGCGGCTATAATAGGTAAGTGACAGAATTCGTTCAAGGCAGTTACGAGTAGTAGTAGCGGCAGGAGCATGCCAAGAAGCAAACAAGTCAGTTCTCGGTAGGAGATAGCCAAGGGAAGTTCGTAGTTGTAGAAAAAATACAACTCGACCTGTGAAGACTTAACTTGTGATTAGAACACTTTATTTATGTGCAATATTTGGAGTACGCAGTTCAGTGAGCCTTCCAGTTCCTGTGTTATAAATCCGTGAAGACTAGTGCAGACAGACTGAAGAGATTAGAGTGGAGTGCTTTGTAGTGTGAAAATAAAAAGACAGTGTAATAATTAAAGCAGTCTTCTGGGGTGTGGCTCAGTGTAGGTATTGTGTTAACCGACGTTTCGGAAGAACATATCGCCGCAATCTTCAGGGTACTTACTTACTCACGGAGCTGAGCCCTTCTGGAGGAGCCGCCAATTCTGCAGCTACTCAAGAATATCCCAGCAATTTATGAAACCCGATGGTTCATTACCGTGTTCACAAGAGCCCTCCACTGGTCCCTATCCTGAGCCAGGTCTATCCAATCCATACCATCCCATCATATCTCTCTAATATCCATTCTAATATTGTCCACCCACCTACGCCTTGGTCTTCCCTGTGGTCTCTTTCATTCTGGCTTTCCCACCAATATCCTATACGCATTCTTCAGGGTAGAAAAGAAAAAGAAATTCGCGAGCGAACCACGGTGAGCAGGTGCAAACAGACCTGCCTGTTACTCAGTTTTAATTCCAAATATTTAATTTGCCTAACTCCTTGAAGGACCATGAATATTACAATTCCTTCTATGTAATTTAATCCATATTTATCATTTTATAAAAATTATCTTAAAACATTTTGCCCAAGTACTTTAAATTTGTTCTCCTACAAAGAACTATTAGCCACGACAAAAAATACGAGTAGCTCACTATGTAAATTCAATTTCTTTGTATAAATTTTAACCAAAATATCTTCCCAATGACTTTATTTTGTGTGAGATTATGAACAGACGAATCCGAGGTATATATATAACAGACTTCGCTGTGAAACGCGCCTTCAAACTGACCAATAGTTCACTGTACAGAATATGTAAGGTGTCTGCGTTCAACATGAAGATACACGTAAACTCTTTACTTAATTGACCCTCATACCATAGACAAAATATTGGGGTTTCTAAGATTGCAACGAATTATTTAAGAAGCCCGAAAGTTGCGTGCGCCTGAGGATATGTTACTGGCCACATTATCGTCTTTTCTGGGGAGGTCTGTGCACGTGAAACTGACAACCGATACGGCGCACTGCGAAAAGACTGCTATAAGAGTCACAATGATTAGATGTGTTGTGTGTAAAGCTTCATGATCCGCATTTTCATAAGAATTACTAGGCCCTCGGGGCACGCGGTAGCGTAGTTGGTTGAGGCACTATGCTACATGCCGAAAGGTCGCGCGATCGAGTCCCAATGAGGTGGACTTTTTTTTTTAATTTACCTAATCCTTCCAGCCGCATTATGACCCTGGAGTCGACTTAGTCTCTAATACAAATGAGTGCCAGGAATCTTTCTGGAGGGTAGAGGGCGGCTGGCGAGTAAAGCTTAAACTTACCGCCATCCGTGAACTGATTGTCTAGAGAAAATGTGGGAGCCTTGACATCTCACAACCATATGGGCCTCCACGGCCTGTTACAGGGATATCTTTACTTATTACCTATTACTAGCTTATAAAAAGATGTAGATTAATTTGACCCATGTAATAAGAAAATGAGCGTACATGAAACGTCGTGGTCAACTGAACAGCAATCCTTCTTGATGCTCGAGAGGTCCCGTTTTCATTTCTCGACGCGGTGACCAGTTAAACTGACAGATATTAAGGTTGTAAGTGGTTTTCTTCAGTCGTTACACGAAAATACCGGGAGAGTACCTAAAATTATACAACGGCCGCTTGGAAGCTATACAACCATATCAATCGAAAGAGTTGTTAAACAAAACAAAAATAAACAAATAAATATATATCTATATATATATCTATTACCTAAGTAGAAAGCCGTCTTCTAGGATGTGGCGCTGTGTAGATATCGTGTTAACCGACGTTTCGGGGTAACGTGTCGCCTCCATCTTCAGGGTAGAAGAAAAAATAAAAACCCGAACGAGGAACCAGCGTGAACAGGTGTAAGCACCTTCAGCTTTCTTTATAGTCACGGGGGTAAAAACCTAAAATCTTACATAATTACCTAAGTACTCTCTAACCGGTCAAGTGACGGATCAGAGATGAGGTCCCTCACTCAAAGACTAACTAAGTTACAACGTGCTGTCTCAGTAACGATAACTTCTGATTCAAATTTCCAAGCTTCGGCAGTTAAAGAAGATACACTGAAAGCGCTGTTACAGATACGATGCGTCTTGCAA